GGGGGAAGGAGGGGCGGGGATTAAGGAGGGCACTTGTGATGAGCACAGTATGTAAGTGATGAATCACTATATTGTACAGCTGACACTAATATTACACTGTATGTTAACTAATTGAAACGTAAATAAAACCTTGAAAAAGAATTAAGAAAAAAAGAAATGATAAAAAAAAGAGAAATGACCTAAAACTAATTAGTATTTTCTATTATTTTAGAAAGATAAACCTCCTTCTCTTGAAAAAAAAAAAACACTTAATAAATATTACAAATTACAGCTTATGCTGTCTTCATTTATGTACTTTGGACACCATTTTCTTTAAAAGACAAAGTAATAGCTCAACGCTTTAAACGTCAAGGGAAATGCAGTTCTCATGTATGTAAACACGTTAAAATTATGTAATTTTTTTTACAGTAACATGAGAAGACTCCCTTATAACTCAAAGACATAGAATCTAGAAATGAATCCACCTAGTTCACACAGCTGTGATTACAACTTTGTGAGAATTCAGAGCCATTGTAACAGAATGGCGGGGAACAACCTCCAATCTATCAATATTAGGTTGGAATGAGGGAGGTGGATAATTTTAGCCTATGTGGGTTTTTTCATTTCCATCTCTCCAGGACACTCTAGAATAATTCCAGTCCTTTAAGGTAGGCCAACCATTCTGAATTCCTCCCTTTGTCTTCTATGAGGCTAATTTGTTGGCTCAGAACACACAGAAAGGAAAAGAAAGGAGCAATTATTCAGAGCCTGTGGCATCACAAGCACTATCCTTCTTCTATGTGAAACTAAATCTGCATGAAACAGATATGCTTTCCATTTTACAGGTAAGAAAGCCTAGGCTCTTAGAAATTAAGCACCTTGCCCAAGAGCCCACAGGTTTGTGTTTGGATTAGAGCTTTTCACAGCTCCAAATTTCACATAATCTCTACTCCTAACTGTGACAGTTGAATTACCTTTCAACTTTAAGAAAAGAATGGTCCTACAAGGCTTGAGTCATTTAAAAAAAAAAGATTTATTTATCTATGAGAGAGAGAGAGTGTGAGTGAATGGGCAGACGGAGACCATCTCAGACTCCTCTCGGTGAGCGCAGAGTCCTTCACAGGGCTCGATCTCATGACTCATAAAATCATGACCTGAGAATCACTTTTGATGTTAACCCTAGTTCAGTGATTCTTGGGGGATGTGTCACCACTGGGATGTGTGTGATCGCAAAGGTGTCAGGAGAAAGCCTGTGGTATTGATTCTGAGGGCCGAGGACAAATATGATGATGTCTTATATGCAGTTCACGGATCTTGCCTCCAAACCGTTCAACAGTTAACTGCGGTTTCTGTGGTGTTTTGTAAAAGACTATCTTGGCTTGCTAAATGGCACTCCCCCAAATACTAATATTAGAATCCAGTAGTAGGTGGAGACTTTTTTCTGTGATGTCGACTGGTGCTGAAACTCTAAAAACACAGAGCGATGACAAATGCACAGAATGTAGTGACTTCAGTATTTTCAACTGTATGGTGAGAAAAGGAAGTACGCTTTTATGTTTAGTAGCAGGTAAGAAATCAAAATGGTTGCTGTGATGTCAATAGATAGCTGTTCAATATGTATTTGTATGGAGCTGTCTATATTCGCACATCCCCCTTGATAACAATAAGAAAACATTTGCTAGTTTTTTCCTCTAACCCAAGAATAATTTATATCAGTAGATACCTCCCTTCCATCTCTCTTTCAGTCAGCTTCTTCTTTTTATAGTTGATCAAGGAATTAACTTTTCACACCTATGTTAACAGAACCACAAATGCCCACATTTGCAACATGTATCCATGTCTGCATCCACATCCACAGGGACCTTTGTAAACTCGTAATTGTATGCGCACATATACAACATCATGGAATTCCATTTTGAGAGATTAAAATATTAATTATGGTAATAATCAAGAATTCATGGTATGCAACCCAATAAGGTCTAAAATGCCTTTTAAAAGTACTGCACAAAACTTTTGCTTCCAGGTAGGATGGAACGAGAAGCTTATAAGCTATGAGAACACAAAGAAAATCTATACAAAATGAAAAATGAACAGCTTAAAAGGATCAGAGCACTGCTGAAACCACAGGTCTAGGATTCTAAAGAGTAGAAAACCCTGGAGAGGTAAGGGAAGAATTTGCAGCTGATTTTATGGATTGTGGGCTGTGGGAAGAACCCAGACTTGGCCTAGGTAGAAGGCCACCGCTGGAGGTTAGGGAAGCCAGCACAAAGTTGAGGAGTCTTGAGGGACTGCAGTGACAAAATACAGACTTCAGAGATCTTAAACACACAACCCATTATCCCATGATGACATTTGTCAGATTCAGAAGCTGCAAGGTCTAGAGGCAAAAAGCTAAGCCAAAACCCCTGAAATACATCACAGATTTTTGGCAGTCTTGCAATACTAAGAAGAAAAAATATTTTTAAAATATTGGCATTCAAGACCTGCCAAGAAGAAGGCCCCACATGAACACACTGGGCCTGGATGGTCCTGTGGACCAAATCCAGCCTGTCTCTATTTTCTGTATGGTCCAGAAATGAAGACCAATTTATATACTTTTAAATGGTTGCCCAAAAAAAATCAAGAGTAGTATTTTAATATTAAAATTCCGAGCGTATATGAAACTCAAATTCTCTGTTCATAAACAAAGTTTATCAAAACCTATCCATGCCCTTTAGTAATGTATTGATTTTGCCTGCTTTTTCATAGTGAGGAGTTACAAAGAGACTGGATGACCCACAAAGCCTAAAATATAGGCGACCTGACCCATTATAGAAGACGTTTGCCGACCTACAAATGGGCTCTTGGTTGAAAACCCTGGGTAAACAGCCTAAGCACAGAAACAAATCAGAGATAAACTGGGTCTTATCAAAACTCAGCCCAACCTCCTTTTGGCTCAACTCCAGATTGGATTAAGGAATTAGCCTCCACTCTATCTCTCGGGCATAAAGAGGACAAATCTTTGCCTAAGAAAGATCTTATCATCTGGAGCCTGTATAATTTTTTATACACATTTCACACACATTCCAGCATTCAGAAAATTACTCTACTTTGTTTGGCCTGAGCCGAATGTATAAAGAAGCCTGATTTAATTGGCGAGCTCAACAGCAATCCATTAACAGATGATTAAATATGCAATTTTAACCTGTGTTTTAAAGAGGTAACACTATTACCTGAAAGCAATTTTCTTGGCAAGAAAACTCAAAATATGTGTCTGGAATAATATTATTCTAACTAACTAGAATGTTATTTTCCATTGTAAAACATTCCAATAATGTGTGGAATAAAATCTAGGAGTTATTTATTTTGTAGAAAAGGAAGACAAATAGTAATTGACTGGTTAGAAATCATTGTGAACTACAAGACTGTATTCTAGGACTCGTTTTTTGTCAGTGATGTGCACTTCCCAGACGCTGGCTTCATATTTTAGGTACCTACCATCCTGAGAAGACAGACAAGAGCAGATGTGGGAAAAACTGGTCCACTGGAATACTAAAGTTATGCTATGTCTTATGCCTACAACACTCCCAGAATTTAAAAATTTGATTTTAATAGCTTTTTCTGATGAAAAGAATAAGACAGCTGAGAAGTTCAATATATCATAGCACTGCAAATCATTAAATTCATTTTAATTAGGATACACTAAGGTTTTACATCTGTGGCAAAAGTAAATTGTAACTTCCATACATAGCAGAGCAGGCCATTTTAATTTATAACCGATTACAATCTGCAGCACTTGTCTTATTGGTGTCAATGAAATATATATCCTAATGGTGTTCAAAAGTCCAGGTCACACAATAATTTTATGGGATTCAACCACATGCAGTCATGCTATTATACAGAAGGCATAGAGATACAGCTATGAATATAAAATTTAATGTAGATAGTGATTAAAAACTGGATATTTATGCATTCCAATATGTACATATAAATGGTACACTAAAAATTTTTTTTTAATTTAACTCAGTATATAACTGGCTTGTGAACAGTTATCTTATGGAAATGAACATTAGCAAAATATTATCTGAGAAAGCCAGAACTATTGTTAAAATAAAGGACTTTCAGAATTAGAGACTTTTTACAAAGTTGATTTTTCAGAAACTTCTTTAAAAGTTGAACTCTCTTCATCACTTTCTCTACCTTTAAGAGCTTCTCATAGATAGGTGCCTGTGAACGGGACTCTAGTAGCTTGAGGAGATAAAGGCTGGACTGTGGTCAAATAATCACAAGGAGAGTATGTTATTTATCATTTTAGCTAAATTTTAAGTGTTCTTTTCACATGAACTCAGTATCTTTAAAAATCACAAGTATCATCTCTAACAGACTTCATGTATGTAATTTACTAAATTCAAAGCAAGGTTTATACTCATCTAATCCTCAAAACTGTTTAAAAACATTCTTCCCATACATGAAAACAGCTGACTTCTAAGCAAGTTAATATTATTACACTGGGAACGAGAAAATAGCATAGAGAACCCAGGATATTCATGCAACTGGTTATTTAATTCAAATATCTGATTAAAGGAAAGTAGCCCTATGTATAGACCTTTATACCACCGATTCCTTAATAACTAGCAGAAGGCCATGCCTCTAAACACAAAAATCCATATTATTTATAGTTCCACAATAGTGTTTCTTCATACAACATGTTCGATTCCAGCGAAAAGATCAGAATCCTCAGAGAGACATATTGCAAACAAAAAGTCCTTAGAAGGTGGGGGAAAGTCAGGCCAGGAGTCACAGAGAACCAACAGAGATGACAGAGATGTGATATCCAGCACCATCTCCTCAGACAGAGAAAGGAAAACCACATGGCACTGCTGAAAAGCCGTGTTAATTCTCTCTCCTAGCTGAGCATTAAATATTACATCTTTCCAACCGTCTCAACCACATGGCTGCTTCTTGAGGTGAGACCCTCCTTTAAGAAACACAAACACGCTCAAAGTGCAACACAGAAACATCGTAGGAACTTAGTGACCTACCATTCTCTTTGCATTCTTCTGGAGGTTTAGCCTTTTTCGCAAGTCGTGGATCCAGCCATGATGTTGTCTTTGTGTTATGGCTGAAAAGAAAAGAGATCACTCTGAACAGACACATACTGAAGGGAATCAAGTTTATTCCTTTAAAAAAAAAAAAAAAAAGGAGGGGGGTGTTAGTCCAACAAAATTGCAATCGATACACTTAATTTGCTTACTGGTTCTAAGTAACCCTGAAGGTAGTGTAAGAGTAATTGTGCAAGGCAGCTGTAAATTTGGCAACCTCGACTCCCTGTCCTCAAAGCAGCTATTTTTATTAAAATCAACTAGAATGTTGCCAAGTTAACCTCATTGAAAATGCAGAACTCATCCAGAGCAAAAGGAATTTATTACAAACACAGGATTCTCCAGTTGGAAAAGCACAGTTCGCAGGCTCTGATACTGTTTCCTCACTTTTACAAAATAATTATTTTCATCTTAAACCTGCCCTTTTCATAAAGAGTTGTTTTGTTACTCTCTAACTCCAGAGCTGGCAGCGGCAGTATAAAAGTGACGAAAATTACAGCATGTTCTCGGGATGCCTACGTTTTCTCAAAAAGTGATTAACAGCAATGTCATTAACCCATATTTAGCTGTATTCCATCTAAATACTTTCAATCCGGCCAGGAAGGCAGAGGGCAAAAATGCCTGTATTCGAATGTTTCTAGAATGGAATTTCTGGGAATTAATAATAATTTTGATGACATTTTGCTTTGGAAAAAAAAAAAAAGAATGTTTTTTGGGAAGCCTTTCGTCAGGAATTTTAAAAACAGAGGAGAGATGTTTTTAGAACAGTGTTTCTTAAAGAGGCCCTAGAATCACTTGCATTGCAGTCACCTGGTGATTAACTGCACAATTCTGGGGCTTCATAGTACTACGAAATCAGAATCTTTGAGGTGGAGCCACAAAATCTCCATCATTGGCAAGCACTCCTGGTGATTTTTATGCACATTATAATTCGAGAACCACTCAAAAGCTCAAAACTGCTCTTTGGAACTAAAGTCTTTGCTGTGTACAGCTGTCTCAAGTGATCTCATCTACCAGCGGACAAATCATCAAGGATGTGACATTTGTGAGGGCTTCCAGAAAAAGCATGAACAAAGTCACGGATGTGGGAAAGTGTGAGGCTCATACAGGGAAGAGTCAAAAGGCCATCAATGGAACACTAAAGGGAACAGCAGAGAATAGTTTAGAAATATAAAGTAAAGCCAAATAACAGGGATATTTCAACACACTGTAAAAAAGTCCAATGTTAATGATGAAAGTCAAATGATAACCGTTTCACATGTATCTTCTCTTTCTTCTTTGAAATTTAACTATGTTTTATTGTATAAAAACGTACATAAGCATCAGCTAGAGAACCTGAGGGACAAATCTCCACTTAAAGCAAAGGTCAGAAAATTCTCCCAGGCAGCATATTTAAGAGCAAACTTAGAGAGACCAGGTGCTTATCTAAGGAAAAAAATTTTAAGGCAGAAAGGAGGAAAGATGGAGACAAGCCGGGCAGTGGGGAAGCAAGCCCAAGGTGTTAAAGCACCTCATGTTTTCTGCATGATGATCCCGGCTATGTGCAGAGCCACCTCTGATTTGAAAATGGAGACATGAAGATCCTAAGGTCAAGAAATCTCTGCTCCTGAAAAAGATTCCCTTTCATTTCCGACTTTGATGTGTGCTAAAGAGAAAAATACTCTCCATCGTGTTCATCACATAGGAACTTCACCATGATTGATGCGTCTAAGCAGGGCTCTCATAATTTGATCAGATAAAGGCTGTGAATTTGGTTAAATTACAAATCATCAGGAGAGTATGCTAGCTTTTATTTTCTCCCAGTTTGACCTTTGCAAAGCCTGATGGTGCTTTATTATCAAGTTTCAGAAGCAAGTAAAGTATTGCAGACGCTTTCATCTCATTTGGGTCCTCATTTGTAGTCATGCCAATATCATCTAGTCTTTCCCTCTGAACTAAAGACACTCACGGAAGGAGATGAGGACCACCCCAAGTATGTTAGTGGACTGGTTCAGTGTTTGCTGCTCCCATTTTGAAAAAAACAAATTCACTTTTAAAAATGTTTTTTATAGACATGCCTTCAGTACAAAGTGTGTGTGTGTGTGTGTGTGTGTGTGTGTGTGTGCACGCACATGTGTGCGTGCGTGCACACAAGTGCATTTGTGTGTAAGGTGTGTTCACGTCTATGTTTTTATGTGGTAGGGAGAAATGCTGGGAAGTGGGCAAGGAAAATTCATTTCCCTTCGTTTTAAGCACGCTTGCTTCTTCAAAACCCTTTCTTCATTTTGGAGAAAAGTCATTTATTTCTAGGTCTGTAAGGCATTTTCACAAAAGCAAACACACCTATAGCTAAATAGTAAGGGGCCATTACTGAGCCATTTCAGGGAGTCAAATTACCATTTCTGTACCACACTATCATTGGTCTCAATGGCTATTTTTGTAGAAAACTGTGAGTTTCCTAGCTTTCCTGAGTTTATACAATGCATTTCATTACAGGATGATTTTTTTTTTTTTTTTTTAGGATGAACTAGCATTAATGGTATGTCACTTTAATACACTTTGGCAGATGGAGTCTCTTACAGTGAACAGCATTTTTAGCTGATCATCTGAAATGATTCTGAAAAAAGTGTGGGTTGTAGTTAGTCTTAAACATCACATGAAGATACATGCAATATTTTCCAATAGTGGCTCTCCCTAGCCTTGTAATTTGGGTGCTTCTTTAGGATACCTTACAAAGGGGATATTTTTAATGCATTTGGGAGACAACAGACCAAGTGGCTTTTCCATGTCCCTTAAATTATATATTTTTAACCTTGACAATTAGCCTTGAAGATGGGATTAAACATTGGACAGGAAACTTGTACAAAATGGGATCATTGAGGGATTTTTCACAATCTACATACCACTTTTCCTCAAGTTTGAGGATGTGATTTCTCTTCACTTCGACTGCTAAAGTAGATTTAAACAAGACATCAGTTTTCGGTATCTGAGCCAACTGTATGGTGCACAAATGACAGGAAGGTAAGAGGCTAATGTTATATGATCTTATATTCTGATACCGGTTTCTTAAACAGAGACACATACACAAATATATACTGCATTTGCAAAGAAATTTTTTTCCTCTAGTTGGGGAATGAAACAAGTATTTTCTAGGAATGCTGAATCACAGTAGTCCACTTTTGTATGTATTTCTATGGATAGAGTTAATGTGATGACCATGAAAAGTGAGTAAAGTCAGTAGCTATTCAAGTTCAATCAATGCCAGATTAATAAACCTTAATAGATAATATTTTTAAGATAAAAACCTTAAAAAATGTTTTATCCAAACTCTTCCCTGATGTTAAACTATATAATGAATCTATCTGGAGGACTGGAATAAACCAGAAGTGAAATTTCATTTAACTCTGCAACACTAGTTTAAATTCATAACAGAATGGCTTTGAAGATGTGATAGGCTGACTTATAATGAATTAGACATTTCTGTGTGTGTGCGTGTGTTCATTTTTCTAAGTTTAACCTTTGCTAAACTGACAAAAGGTTCAGGTTAAATAATAACATTTTATCTTCCTGGAGAAACATTCTTTTCACACAGAAAATGCTTCTCTTGGACAGGAAAAGCAGCTGACATTATGGCACACCATTGCAAAGTTATTCTCATTATCTTGCAACATTTCCTGATTGTCTACTTTTGTTAGGAACTGCACTAGAACTCTCATACCCATCACCTCATTTTATGCTAATGAGCCCCTGCAGCTTCATATTTTTAATTTAATTCCACTTTACAGTTAGAAAAGCAAAGCTTCAGAGAAGGTGAGTAACTTGCCCAAGGTTACACAGCTCATGTGTAAAAGTGAAAGAGCTGGCATTCGACCCAGATATGTAGGATTCCCAAGTCCAAGTTTCTTATGCTCTAAAACCAAAGGCATACTAAACCTAACACTATTATTTATACTGAGTTGCTTTTATTTCACTTCCTTGGAGAATAATCAAAGATTTGTTTCTCAGAGCCTTTGCCAATAGTTTGGAAATAGAGACATTTATCTCCTTTTTGAAGATAGTAACCACAACCTTAAATCTCTTTGTGTTGAATGTCTGGTATTTAGTAGGTATTATATTAAATTGCAGGTGCACAGAGATGGAAGAACACTGTGATTGAGGAGGTACGTAAAGTATCACTGGAAATATTTTTGTCCTTATAAACTTGAATTCTCCATTCAGATCACTTTTGAATCATATGTTCTCCATTCAGATCTGGATATTTTTCCAAGTGGAGCTAAGATGGCAGCATAGGAGGACCTTAGGCTCATCTGTCCCTAGAATACAACTAGGTAATTATCAAATCATTCTCAATACCCCAGAAATCAACCTGAATATATTTCCAAACTAAATTCTTAAAATTCCTGATTTACAAGATATGAATATGAATATTACATATGAATATTAGGTCTTAGAAGCTATATTAAAGAATTAGGCTAATAAAACTGCTATCAAACAGGGAGCATTTTTTTTCCTTTTAATAAATTATTTTAGAGAGTGTGAGTAAGGGGAGGTGGCCAAAGGAGAGGGAGAAAGAGAATCCTTCAAGCAGACTCCCCACTGAGTAGGGAGCCTGACGTGGGGCTCGGTCCCAGGATCCCGAGATCATGACCTGAGCTGAATCCTAGAGCCAACTGACCGAATCACCCAGGTGGAAAATTTTCGTATTGATCATGCCACACTCCATCCTCCGTTCCATTTTTTCATTATTCTACGTTTTCCCAGTCAGTTTCTTAGGTATTCATAAGTGGATCCTCATGGGTGATCCGATTCAAACCTAATTTTAAGACATGTCCTCCTTTCATCCACCTCTTCCTTCAGTTTCCTTTTGCTCTCTCCTCCCCTACTTTCATATTGCCACCCAGATCAAAATAATGTTTTCAATACTGCACAAACACTAGATGATGCTTCACCAACTGAAATTTTATTAGTCGAATAAGAAATTTTTATTATCAAACACATTCCCTCACTGTGTTTTCTCTAAAAATAGTAATAGACTTAAAAT